ATAACATATTCTGATGTCTGACATATGCCTCTATTGTGCAGTTATTAATGTACAAAACATAGGGTCTTCTGTTTTGCTCAAAACATATAGTACCAGTGCAATTTAACATAGACAAGTTGACAAAACATGGACCTTTCAGGTGATATCATGGAATTTATTGTATGTAATGACGTCCTATTCAGTAATTCTAGGAGTTAGCCTCTTTGAGTGAAACAATTTGAACATCGGTATGGGTAGTAAAATAATAAAAATTTTTATGATTTAATTTCTTTGTAGGAAATGCTTGTCAGGACAAAAGACCGAAAAAAAGATTGAAAAACTGCCTTTAAACACAGCCATCATTAATGTTAATGGATTCATAAGGAGCATCCAAACAATATGATATTGGGATCATCAGAGACTGGCAATTTTTTACCACTCACTGTGACAGATGCATCTAAATAAACATTGAAATGTTAAATTTTTTGTTCATTGCTTTTCCTCATATGGTATAAATATTGCATAATATTCGTGTGAATATCGCATGATTTTCACATGAATAACACACAAAGTGGAATTTGTATGAATATCATGCGAAATTTCAGTCGCATGAAAATCGCATGAATTTCGCATGAAATTTGTGTGTTAACATTCACATGAAATTCGCATGTGGGACTTTTCACATGATTTTTGTATGATTTTCGCATAAATTTCATGTGAAAAGGCAAACGCATGAAAATCATGCGAGCCACTTTTCCCTGTGTACTCACGATTTTTAAAGGTTTTTGGATCTTAAAGTGATATGCCCAAATTATTTACACTTATAAGATTAAAAATTTCTTTTGTTGAATAGGAATCTTGGAATGCAGCCAAAAATGCCAATATCTAAATAAACGAAAGGAGGAAAAAAATGTTATGTTCATCCTCTTCTTACTTGATTTATCAACAGATATGAACTATTTTTAAGTAACAATAATCAGATCATTATGTACAACTTCTTCCTTATATTCCAAGTATATTTTATATACATGCGCAGAGTACAAGAGATAAATAAATTTTGTACGTCACTACATGTAGATGTATCCATACATACCAACATTTCCAGCAAGTATTAACGACCAAAAAAACTTTATAAACATAATTTTGTATCATATACCGACTTTTGATCATGGATCTTCAACATTTTGAATTAAACTTGTATTATTAAAAAAGTCGTTTTTGTATTTTTTATAAAATTTTCTCGACGTGATAGAAAAGACCAATACTGTTCTCGACATGACGAAAAAGCCTGTGTGATTATTTCGTTAGTTCAGTATGCTATATCGAATGTATGATTTTTTTTAAAATAAATTCAATTTGATTATTCATGTTAACATGAATTTATATTGACTACTATTTATGTGACAAGTATTATTTTTCGCTTTCTCAATGTCCTCATAATTCTTTTTATTTCTATTTCGCTCGAACTATAATGCTCGTTTAATATTTAAAGAGTAGACATCCACCCTTTTATTTTGTTTATGTCTTTACTGATGACCATGTTATAGCAGACGATACATGTTCCTCATAAGGCATAATAGTTTTTATTAAAGCATTAAATCCTCTTTAATTCGGATTCGGCATTTGGCTTGAATTGTTCACTCTTTTCTTTCTGTAATTTATCTTAAAAACAAATAGACGTTACATATTTTGGTTAAAGACCATTTACGCTTTTAAGACAGTTTTTTTTAAAAATTATTTATATTTTTTTAATATGAAGATATTTTTTGAAAGTGTATTTTCTGAGTTCATTTTCTTATATCAACGTAAGATACTTAAAGTACTGTTATATATTGCTATATATTATATTAGATACATGTTTTTTTTATTCTAGCAATACAGAAAGATTTTGTCCTCTTATGAGTTTTCTTTTCAATAACTATATTTTTGTATGCAAACCAGAAACCGCATAGACCGCAGTGACAAATAGTTTTACCTTCAATTAAGCATACTCGCATTGTTAGTATAGTTTGAGAGTTTTCATAAAGAGTTTGATTCTCATAAATCATATGCTTAAATTTGTTTCTGTGATTTCAAATTAATCATCTCAGTTGTTCATACGGAAAAGTGCCCATCTCATATGTAAAGACTTAACAATTGACAATATGTGGTAACATTCTGCCGATAAAAGAAAAATAAAAGACGTTTAAATGTACAGTGAACAACATTAAACTGGACAAAACATGTTACAGTAGATACCGCTGTTAAGACGATTATTGGCTCCATAGAAATGAAATATGTAGATTTAAGCTCAAAAGGTCATTAAAACAATATAAATCAGGAGCAGAGCAAACACGGACTTCTAAAGCATCAGAGGTGGGATCGGGTATAATGGAAGACTGAGCATCTACTAGCGACCGGTGAAAACCGCAGTGTGCTCCTTGTCATAATCGAAAAAAAAACCCGGGGAAAACCATAGACAATTCAGTAAATAATGGCCAAACAATTACATGTGTATTATGAAAAACGTCAGTAAGCATTTGAGTTAATGATAGAATGGATTTGCTGACAAGGTCATTGTACCGACCATAGAACTTGCAAAAGTCTGACTTTAAAAGAGACTGTCAAAATTTTTGTTTTAAAATTTATTTTTTGTCGATAGCTTGTCTCGTTTTAGAAATTGTTCATACGTAGAGCATGCGCATGCTTAACGAATCAATTGAGGGACATAAACCCAAGGTCATACTATAATACTGCTTCATAAGTAAGGAAACCTGACGATTGAGAAGTTTAAGTCATGAGGTTTATCGTTAAGTTTTGCTGTTAGTTGTTGGGTTACCATTTACGTCTTTTACTAGTAAAATATCCAGATACAGTATAAGCAGCATTCTTAGCGAGCATTTAATTTTGGCATTATTAGCGAGGGTGCTGGGATCGCTGAAATTGAATACCGCTAAAAATTTATTGAGTTTTATTTGTAATATCTTCATTAGTGAGCATTTAAAAATCGCTAAAATTACTTTTCGCTAAAACTAAAATGCCAATTTTTAAGTACAACTCGCTAACTTTGAGTCTCGCTAAAATTTCCACTTATACGGTATGAAACAGAATTTCATTTCTGTGCCCCTTATAAGCTCAAAAGATTGATGCCTTTTTAAACTGGTCGATACGTCTGCCCGTATCATTTCTTTACTACCGAACGAAAAGACTGTCCACCAGCAGAAATACATATTCGGTGGTTAAAACAAAATATAGAGATATCGAACAGTATTAAATCTCAAAAATCCATTAAATATCATAATCAGAAAAAAAAGGAACAAAACGTCGACAATTCAGTGAATAATGGCCAAACAATTATTATGAAAAACGTAATTTAGCATTTGAGTTTATGATAGAATGCTTTGCTGACAATGTCATTGTACCGACCATAGAACTTGCAAAACTATGGCTTTATAAGGGACTGTTAATATTTTTGTTTCATAATTTTTTTATCATTAGCTTGTCTCGTTTTAGAAAATGTTCGTACGTAGAATGTGCACTTCGGATCCGTATCCAATCAACCGAGAGACATAATCCTCATATGCAGGTCATACGGTAATATTACTTCATAAGTAAGGGAACGTTTGAGAAGTTAAGGTCATGACGTTAATCGTTAAATTTTGCTGTTAGTTGTTGAGCATGCCATTTACGTCTTTTTCTAGTGAAATATCCAAATATGAAACAGGTGTGTCAGACTTTGTGGTATCTCTTTGTTCAAGCTTACGGAGATATTTTGAGTCGACATATGAATCGAAGTAACTATTGTTAATTGATAATATCGATATATCGAAATGTCGAGTTGAAGGCCACGGCAAGTGTTTTCTTCTTTCTCAGGTATAAGATTTTGAAGAAATTCTGCTTCATAAGGAAAAAAATAGGTTTGCTTATAACTGGACACAAATGGTAGCCATGCGAATTCGGACATATTGTTAGAAGACCTGAAGAAACTTTGCATCCTCTCCTTTTTTTAACTATTAGTTTTATACCAAACCTGGAAGTCTGAAGACTGCACATATGACAAATGTTTAATATCCCTGAGGATTATATGATTGAACATTTTTTCTGTGTCCCTTATAGACTCAAAAGAATGACACCTTTTTATCTGGGCGAAGCGTCTGCCAGTATCATTTCGTTATTACCGAACGACAAGACTGTCCACCAGTAGATATAAATGTTCGGTGGTTAAAATGAAATATGGTGATATCGAACAATATTCAAGGTTAAAGGTCTCTTGGAACAATACAATTCTGGAGCAGATCAAACACGGACCACTAAAACTTCAGAGGTAGAATCAAAGGCATTGGAGGAGTAAACACCTCCTTTCGACCGGTTACACCCACCGTGTTTTCCTTGTCATGATCGGGCAAGCATTTTCGAAGAAATCTAGAAGGATGGCTCAGTAACAATATCTAAATTATTAAAGTTTTGAAAATAAGTCCTTTGTAGGAAAACAAAGCAAGCTATACCTATGCAAATTTGAGTTAAAGTTGATATACAGAACATATAATGAACCTCTCTAACAAACGTTCTGTACGTTATTTATTTCTTACATGCTTTCCATAAATTTCAATTTGACAACAAATATCTAATTGGTGCACATATTTGAAAACCAATCAAAAAAGGTTAGGATAGACACCATAAAAGAGATTCTATCACTTAATATCAAATGCATTTTTGTGTCAATACTAGCATTGTGAAAAATGAAATGTGATGTATAAAATTTGAATAGAACTTCTTTCATATTTCTATATTTCTGCACATATCTTTCTTTATGCATTATTAACTCCTTATTTTGAAAGATAACTCAGACCCATTTTTTCTTAACCAACTATTATTCGCAACATCTTTATTCGCTATTCTTCAGATTGAAATTCACCATCGACTATGAAATGTTGCGACGTGGACAACATACATGTTATTATTTAATGGTTATTTCATGTCGAGACCTTCAAATTGGTTAACGGTATTCTATAGTTTATAATATTGGAAGAAATTCATTAATTAAAATATACATTTTATTCCGTTACATCTTAACTATTCTTGCAAATCTAACACTAAAAAAGACGTTTCATGATCAGAAATCGATTTTTTTTTAATTCTTGCAAGTGTTTTTCTTTCCTCCATGGACAGGTGAAGGTGCTGTTTGAGATGAAGGTGGTGGATAAAAAACATTGTTTTTGCCATTATTTTTCTTGCAAGCTATTATGCTGAATGTTTTATTAAAACAAAGCCGGACTTCAGATATCCAGAAACTAGTCTGAAATAGAAAACATTGACGTAAAATAATAAGACATCTAGTGTTAATTATTGCTGGACTGTAAATATGTGTTCCAAAAAAAAAAAAAAAAAAAGACTCAGAATTTCATATATTATGACCCAGTACAAGCGCCATTTCATTTGCTAATCCATCATTTTGTATTTTAGACCTATATGTACATCATACTTCATAAAGTAACTAATTGAAAAAAAAAATTATGCCTATATAACTGTATAACTATTGGCCAATCAGATTTTACACTATATTTTACCACTTGTTTATGCCCATGTTTTCTATATTTCTCTTGCTATTTGTCTCATTGAAGCTCACAATATATATATGCAAAAAACAACAAAAACTAAATAAAATAAGGGAACAGTAATCAAGCTGAAATGTCCATTGAAACAAACCAAATCGGAAGCAGATCAAATAAGGAACATCTAAAACTTCACAGATATGATCAGGTGCCATGCAGGAGTAAGCAACCTCTTTTGACCTTTCAAACCCACCGAATGCTTCTTTTCAGGATCGGGTAAATGGAAATATCCGTAGACAATTCAGTATTTAAATCACGGCCTTACAAGTAGTATGGAAAACGTCACTCAATATGCAACTTAATGATAGATTGCATTTGCTGACAATATCATTGTTTCGTTTAAGAAGGTTAAAAATTATCCCCAACAACTCTGATGCAACTGAGGCTTCTGCTTAATTTGGAAGTGTGGAAAAACTTCCGTAAGAGAATGATAAATGCACTAATAGAATAATCACTAACAGAAGAATCAAAGTTGTGACAGATGCGCAAAAACATTCTGATCTCTCTTGTCTCACAAAGGTTATGAAATTTTGGAGAACATTTTGGAGGGTATCGTCAAATTAGTTTTAATAACTTGTGAGCTGTTGGTCAAATTGAAATTAAATTGTGGTCACGTGTTGATTAAAGAAGCGCTTAGATAATATATATGGAGATAACGAACAGTATTCAAGCTCACAAGTCCATTAAAACAATACAAATCAGAAGCAAATTGGAAAATACAATCAATAATTTAACAGTCTTCAATGGTCATCATATGGGCGAGCACTTTCAATTTTTACGCAGTAATCCTGATTATATTAACTAAATTTTTATCGTTTTGTCCCCCCCCCCCCCGCTTTGTTAAATGCCAAAAACGGGTATTGTGAAACAAAGAAAACCCTGTCAGGTACATGAAATGGAACAACGTTGTGAGTGTTGAACAATGACAAAGACCAAACATATAACCTTGATCCTGAAGTGACCTAGACCTAGATTGATTATGTTTGATACTGGAAAGTTTGCGAGTACATTCAATTTGTTTTGATCTTTATTGAGTTTATGATTGCTATACCTTACTTTCAGTCTCTATCAATTTGCTACTTTGAGAGATAAGAAGCAGGCAAACCTATATTTCTTTCAAAGAGATAAACCTTTTATAATTTAGGGGTAACAGATATGTGCTTACCTTTACATCTTTGATGCGTGTGTATATGATATGAGGATTAGCTTTTGTTTCCTTTATAATTCCGTCTACTATAACAGGAACCTGAATCAAAAATATCTTTCTGTACTGAATGAATATTAATAAAAATCATATAAAAATGTTTTCTTAGTTTAAAACGTGCTTACCCTGTAAGATGTTGTTGCATTTGGTGTTATGTTACTTTTCTCTAGAAAACTAAATAAAAAAGATAATCAAAGAAATGTTATATGATATATAAAAGTGTTATCATAACAAATAAGCTGGGGCTGACTTTTGCAAGGAGGAAGAATGATTACCATGTGTGACTTTATTTAAAAAAAAAATATAGCAATACAAGTATTTCATATCAAGTCTTTGCTGGTTTCTCAATCTTTGTCTTAATGATACTTTCATATCATTATAAAGTTAATAAAGGAAAATATGGAAAATGCCTTTTTTTATTGAAATTATTCTAATACGTTAGTCTTATATCCATTCTAATTAAATTAAATTAAATTCTTTTTAATTCCTGGAAACAAGTAATTTGAGTTTTCTTCTTCCTTTTTTAATGTATTTTTCAAATATTCTAATTTTAAGACCCCAACATGCAGACTAAGAAACGAAATTATTAAGACTTAATTTTCGTATTTTTCTCCTTCAGATTTACACACCTATAAATACTATAACTGTGTGCCAACTCTACAGCCTTTGTAAAGTATTCCGCCAAAGACCTTGTTCCGTTAACATCGGCGCATGTTCCATGTTTTTTCCATTCATGTGACCTGTCAATTTTGAATTCCTCTTTTTAACTTTAATTTGTTTATAATCATTATTATCAGCTTCTGATGCCATTCGATTTTTTAATTCTAACAAGTTTTATGTAGCCAGTTTAGAGTGTCTAATTAAGATTTTATTTTTATTTTTACCATTAACCTTTTTAATGAAAAATTTAAACAATTTTCAATATATTTTCAATATTTCTTCTATTTTATTTCTATTTTTTTTCTTCTATGTGTTCTATTTTTCCAATTAGATTTTAAGGTTATTGAATGCATATAACATATTTTAATATCATATAACATATTTATTGGTATAAATTTTTAATTTGAAAAATGATTATTCATTATTTGATTGATTATTTTTCATTTCAGTTGACAAGATGTAGAAAGAAAGCCGGTTATTTTGCAAAACATATCTTTGTTTTTATTAAGAAAAGACTATGAGTGTTTACCAAAATTTTTTATTCTCATCCTTTGATTTCAGATCTGGCCATGCCTCATTCATGGCGCTAATAGTAATCTGAAAACAAATAAAATGCAAGTTTATTGTAACTAGTATTTAATCGTCTTTCGTATTGCTTCTATTCAATATAATACATGTATATCCATCATCGGAAATAGAAAATAAACTTACCTCTGGAATATTTTCCTCGCTAAAACTTTCATTATGTTTGCAGTCAGTCACAAATGGAGGCGTAAAATTTGAAGGCCTTAATATGTAAAAATGTGTACAAATACGTCAAAATAACATTTGTACATTTTAGTAGAGTTTAAACTGAAAAAAAACCTCTTATTTTCAGATTTTGGTATCAACATCTATGATTTTCAAAATGAAATATTTACTTTAAATGCTTTAATAGGTTACACCCAATTCAATGTTTCTACATTCTATATCGAAAATAAACCACTATGCCAAATAATTTTTAAAATTAAATTAAAAATACACAGTGTATTAAGGATATGAAGATGAATACGTTTTGCTTTAAAGAGGAAATTGCACAATTTTGAAGAAAGTTGAATACTGGTCAATAAGTTTTATTGTAAGTGTGAATTTACTGACACTCATGCAGTGTTTATCCCAACGAAAAGTTAAATGTATATTTGATTTTTTTCACTTTAGTGAAATGATAATGATGAACATTGCATACCAAAGTCCATGTATAGTCCAGTTATTGGGCGGGTCTCTGCTGCACTGTGCAAAATTTTCAAATATGTGTTAAGATGAAATATTTTAAAAGAGAAAAATAGTTCTACTGGCTTTGTGGGATACGGAATATATGGTACATATTAGAATTTAAATTTGACTTACGTTTTGAATTTTACAAAATGTCACTGGCCATTGAAGTGCCAAAATAAAGAAATCAAACTCAACTGCTATCACATGATTGTTATCACTATAAAAGAAAAAAAAAGAAAAGGTAAATGTAAATAAAGACAATGAGACAAACCCGCCTGTCACTGGTTTCCCAAATTAGTTTATTGCAGTTTGATTTTGTTTGATAATTGATCTGAATTCTAGAATTCATATTTCATAGTTACTGGTAAGTTAAGCAACTTTATTGCGTCCGATGTTTTTGTCATTGCTCGCATTCGTTTATGTTTTCATCATATGCTTTACATTCCCTTTAATTTGTTATGCAGCGGTTTATTGGCGTTGTTACTCTATGTTTCATTATTTTATCGATTCTATAAATTGTCCCTTTTAGACCGTTTCCTTATTCTTTTAAGTACAAACCTGCTAAGCCTGATAACAATAAGTAACATAAAATGGATGAAGGGCATCATGGTCAAATCGAACACTCTTAATCGCTGAGTAGACTGCGCAGATGTCTAAGGTAATGAAAAGTGTTTGCAATTACTAATATTTTGATAGAAGTATCGGAAATCAGGTACATGAAAAACAAACAACTGTGTAAATAAAGAGAAAATCTTTCTTTTTTTTTCTTTTTTTTTTTTAAAAAGTATTTCGTATTTGTTACTTCTTCATGTTGAGGGGAAATAAAAGAAAAACATATTTATTTTTATATTTACATTTCTAAATATTTTTCCTTAAGATTCTTTGCAAATTCGAAGACTGGCGCATTAGCGCTTCATGAAATATGCCAGCGTGAAGCGTCGTAGTTCATGTCCTCATGAATCTTAAAAAATTAAATACATTTCTTAAATAAAACCTATGTTAAATCAATTGCATGTACGTACTTTCTTTACTTACAAACGACGCCTTTCAATGGTATATTGAAACTTGCTCTATTCTATTTTTAAATAAAATAATTTGTTCGAACAATTACATTGAATTTTTATTTGTCGAATAAGAAATCTTTTTGGAAAAAAAGTTCTCTGCTCATAAAGTTCGGGAATTTTTCACTCATTTGGAGACGCCATCACTTGCTGCTGGAGGGCTGCAGATTTTGACCTATACTCGGCACTCAGGGCCATTGAGTAGTGATGGATCTTTTTCGTGCCAGCAGTACTGCGACATGGGACCTTGGTTAATACAGTCTCATCCGAAGGACTGGTCTCAACGTCTTGCAGTGGGATTCGAACCCGCGGCGTAAGGATCAACTCCTTACACCGCGACTCTAGAGCAAACGCTCGAGTCATTGCACCAAGCGGGGGACTTAACGAGGTTGTAAAAATCCCTGTAATATCAACTTATCTGTCGGTAATATGCCTCGTTTAAGATGTGATTGTTCTTGAGCATGGAATAAGTTGGGAGATGTAAACGCCAAATGCAAGTAAGCTGAATATTATCACATAAATAAGAAAATAGACAATGGAAAAGCTGAAGTCATCTCGTTTGTCACACAGTTTGGTTAATTGGCACCTTTCTTCTTTGAGCAGTAAAATATTCAAATATGAAAGAATGATTTGCGTTTTTTTTTGTCCACATGAATAAAAAAATTCTAATCTGATCCTTCAAAAGCTATTAGGTTCTATCTTACTTTATTGATTTTTCTTAGTTTTTCGTGGAAGTACATGTACAATAAATAAAATAGGGAAGACAAATTAGTAGATGCCTTGTTTAATTACTTTTTTTCTCTTTAAAAGAAATCTCCAGTAAATTAAATGTACTTACGCCGAGTAAGGCCTGAATACTGAAAATTTAGGAGGAAAAAAAACTTCCGTTATCTATAACTGTTTTATACACTGTGTGAAAAAAACGGATGTTGACTCATTGTTTTTATTTATATCTTTTACAACTTTTCGTGGAAAACAAAAATTTACTTAAGATGCTTATCAGCATTAGTATGCATTGAACAAAATCTGTGCTCAGCCTAAAAACCCTTTCCCTGAAATAAACCTTACCTTGAATTATTTAGGGTTTTTAAATTTTGCAAAAATATAAATTTTATATATTGTTAAAATCAAAACAACACACAATGCAACAAAACAGCATTTAATTGTAATGAAGTCTAACATTGTGTATTAATATTTGACAATTAATTTGCATGTACTTAAGATATTCTAAAATTTAAACCTGTGGTTAACTAACCAGAGGCTAATTTATTTTGAGCAACAGATATTTGACCAGTGGTTAGTTGGCTAGTGGTATAGAATTTAACCACCGGCTAACTTAACCAGGGTCAAAATTAACCAGTGTTTTGAGCAACTCAGTCCAGATGTATTGTCAGTTGCAATTCGCACCTCGGACATCTTTGGTTCTGCCATAGTTATTTTAGTTTCGAAAGTTCCTTTGCCATCAGGGTACTGACTTGAAATTTCTGCATGTTTCAGGTTGGTTCTGCACATCTCATTCCCACATATTCTTTTTGTTCTTAGGTTGATGTGACCCCATCTGCTGCAAACTTTTGTAGTTTCTTTTCTTCTCTGTTGCTCTACTTGATGATCAATTTTATTCAGGTATTTTCCTTCAAACTTCTGCTGTTTTATCACAATAACCAACTTCTTTGCTAAGGTGCTGTATAACAAGCCATAGCAAATGTTAGTATATTAATTCACGTTTTAAAACTTCTTTCCAATAAGATGTTCGAATGCATTCACCTCTGCCTTTTTTTAGGTCGTTGGAGAATGTTACTGTTAACACTATTATCCCCATCTAAGTCAGTCCATTCTCCATGAAACGCATTCCTACACCGCTTTTCCAGGAGCATATTTACGTGGATTTTTTGTTCAAAGTATGGATTTAAAGGTAAGAAAAGCTGCAAAACTTTGGCTGTGGAGAATCCACAGATATCGTGCAAGAAACACAAGGTCTGATCCTACATCTTCAAAGCCACCAATCTTTATATCCACTGTCAATGGGTAAGCACACCAAATCTGTAATTTTGTATAATTTAAAATTAAATATCTAAGAAATAACTTTGTTATTTGTAATTACTGTAAAATAAAAAAAAAATTAACAAATCAATTTTGGCATTCTTAGCAAGGTTACTGGTATCGCTAAAATTTGTGTCACTTACACTTCTTTCAACATCGGATGTTACCCTAATTTTTTATGCATCACAAAATAGTTAAAAGTTGACATAACTTTTCATTTGAATTAATTACTGATTTTTTTTTAAATATGTACGAATATATAGACAATTTAAAAGAATATAACAAAATCACACAAGTCATATCAATATTGAAAGATTCCTAAGTTTTTTTAAATTATTAACCTTTGACTTTAGGGCGTAGTTAAAATTGAGGATCAAATATTACAAAATCATAGGTCCTTTATATGGCCACAATATAAGGTCAAAATCATTTTGAAAAAAAAAATATGGAAAAAAAAGGAATGGCAGGAGAGAATAACAAAAACAAGCATTTTGTCCAAGTGACCTCTTGTTAGTTTTTCTGTACATTATAGTTTAAAACAGAAGGGAAAACACACATTTATTAATAAATGCAGATATTAAATGTATGCAATTATTATTGTAGGACTGTGTCAATACATTGTATCATACGGATATTCAAGAAAGATCGTATCGAAAAAGAACTTCCAATATCGGGCATGCTGTTTTCTTATAATTCTGTGAAAAAAAATTAGAAATTCAAGCACCAAAGATTATATTTTACTATTTTGAATTAAAAGTGATTAATAATGACATAAACATTAAGGAGATGGGACATCTTATAGTATTATAACAAGATACATAGACAACTATATTTTAACAGTTTTACAATCGTTAAAAGATTAAATTTATACAAGTATATTTTGTGATTACAGTGAGAAAAGAACTTTGAAATGGGTTATAAAACACTCATTATTTAATAACTTTTTGCATTATATGATTTACAAGAGTTTCTTCATAGACATGTAAAAGAATCAAATATATTGCATATTGCTTTATAAAATATCATATTGATGCAATTTTTAGTTTGCTCAATACACGGCCCTATGTATTATTAACATCATTTCCGCACAATACCACACATCGGAGAGAACTATCCTATGTCTTGTGTGCCTGAACCAGGAAATAGGTTTGATCAGTTTGCTTGTCTAATTAAGAGATCAATGTTATTAGCCTGGGACTAGGGAGACACGATTCTCTTTTGCGAGCCAGCTGTTTCTACTCGGGACACATGGTGCATGATGGACAGAGAGTAGATTGTGGACCAAAACTTGCGTGCATGTACTCATAGAATACAAACGCAATGTCGATGTCTACCAGACTTCAAACCACATGTACCTATGAACAATCTACAATGAACTATTGCAAAAATTCTATCCACCATGTTAAATTGATTGTAAACTTTTAACTTAATTAAGGTTAAAAACTTATAAAAACAATATGTTAAATGTTTAGAGTCAACGATAATTCCTGTGTGCTTCCAAATAAGTTTCAATATAAAGAAAAAAACAATACTGACATATTTTTAATTATGGTTGCAATTTAATGGTATGTGGACATTGTAATTGTTTGAACATTTTTTTTTAATCATCAAATTTTGCTTCACCTTTTTACTTCCTTTTTTTGAATTTTATAATTTTTATTAATTAATTTATTTATTTTTTGTTAATGTATGTTTGTGAAATAAAATCCTGAGAGAACTTTTTAAGTATTACTTTTTTCATAAAATCTATCAAAAAATAAATAAATAAATAAATAAATAAATAAATGAATAAAAAATAAATAAAAAAATAAAAAATAGTTAATTAAAAAAAAAAAAATTGAACAAAATTGAACATAATATAAACAAGGTTTTTCACTTCAACTACAATTAACTTCTTTTGTATGGAAAGCCATCTTGTAAAAATCAAATTGAAAAAAAATGGTAGGTCTTGAGTTCAACATTTTTTTTAATAACAAAGAAAAAACAGGCATCTAAACTCCTGTCAGTGTAGTGGTTTGATTGTTGAAGTGTAATTTTCTGCTGCATCATGCTTTTTATCATAACTTTTAATATTTATTCCTAAATATACTGCATGTGTAAAAAAATATTTGTGTGTGTGTGTTTTTTAAATTATTATTATTTTAAATTCTTTAATTCACCTTTTTCTCTCGTTATTCCTGATTATTGATAATGGGTGTTGCATTAACGAGGCCGAGTCTTATTCCACTAATTCGCACTTTTTTCGTTTCATGCAGTCGTATCTGCAACATAGATGTAACACCTATCCAAGTTTTGCGGTTGTAACACAAAATGAACATAATCTGTAACGTTTATGGGTCTTAAAATGTGCTTTTAAGAAATATTTAGGAATAAATGCTGAAACAGCTTTCACGACGTCACTGTTTTTCGGATCTGTAAGTAATGCATGACTGAAGAATGACGCTTGACTCGCTTGAGTATTCAACACGTCCATGGACATTTTATTAAACACTGTTGATAGACTATTAAAGGAAACATACCAGCAATCTAAACATTGTTATTTTTTACCAAAATAATTCATCTGTGCCGATATATACAAAATGCATGCCGCAATATTGCAAATTTAGAGATATTGGGCATTCGGAAAAATAAACTTTATAATAATTCCCGACCAAACCAGATGGTCAACTTTTTTGAAATTTCACAACTTGGTGATTTTTTTTAAAAAATTACTTTCATGTATTTGACTGAAAACGAAATCCCTAGGACAGAAATACAAAAAAAAAAAAAAAAAAAAAAAAAAAAAAAAAATTAGGGAAAATGTGATAATTTGGCGTTTTTCCAACAAATTCCCATAGGTTCCAATAGTAAAATTTGACAACTTTTAAGATGGCCCTCAAGAAATCGCGATGGTAAACATTTGAACTGGACTTTCTCTTTGGGTTCTCTCTGTGCATTTTTAATGGCTTTTAATGAACAGTATCAAAATAATGTAAACGATTGATGTACTATCAACTATATCAAGAAAAGAAACATCTTTTCTTTTCTTCTAAGCAACTTTTGATATAATTAATCACATTCTTTATAAGAACTGACAGTTACATATTCAAACAAAAGACAATTTTATATTCGAGAAGTGTTGTTAATCGGAAGTGTGCACATAAAAGATTAAAAGAATTTTTATTTGTTTATGTGTATGTTGTTTAACGTCCCTCTCGAGAATTTTTCACTCATATGAAGAGGCCACCACTTGCCGGTAGAGGGCTGCAAATTTTTACCTACTCGACACTCAGGGCCATTGAGCAGTAGGGGACCTACTGCAATACGGGACCTCGATCAGTTTATACGGTCTCATCCAAAGGTCCGTTCTCCACGTCCTGCAGTGGATTGGAACCCGCGACGTAAGGACCAGCTCCTTACTCCGCCACTCTAGACGCTTTAACCACTGCGCCACTTTTATTAAATTTGTGATCACAAAGTTTTACCAATATCTATAAAATGAAGACGTATGCTATTTCAGCACTTTATCACGATAAATTAAAGACAATATTTATTGAAATTATAGACAACTGTTCTATGTTCAATTAAAATTGAACACATTAATTTACATATCTTGCCATTGGTCAAATGCCAACTAATTTTTGTTAAAAACATTCTGATTGTACACAAATTATACTCCAAAGTTGATATTGAAAAGAATGAGTTTCTGATTGATAATATCTATGTAGTCTTTGGAAATCAGGTCCTCCTACAAGTAGTTGGTACAAACTTCGTTATAAGCAAACCCCTTTTGTATTCTTAGGAAGCAGTTTTTCTTAACTTATGAATGAAAAGAAAAGGTTTCTTGCTGCGGCATTTATGCAGCAATATAACATTATCACATGCATATCAGGTTTGTCTAGAAGTTGATTCGATGCACAAGATCATTTTTTACGAACGCTCATTTTTCTTAAAGGAGCTGAGCAGGCTATTGACAAATAAGTTGATTTTATATAATGATGTCAAGAATCTCTTTTAGTCATATTTTTCTTATTCTTTGGCCGACACAATGACCTTGTGTACAAGTAATATGTTGACCGACCTTTTCTATACGAATTGTTAGGCAATTATTTTCACACTGAATTATCTACCGATTTACTGCTTTCCTGATCATGAGAAAGAATACTAATGGCAGATATGACCGTTTACAGGGCATTCCTCCATGGCACCTGATCTTGTTTGTTTTCAGAGATCCTTGTTTGCTATGCTCATAATTTGTATTGTTTAAATTGACTTTGAGCATATCTATGCATTTTCATATTTTATGATTAAGCATTAGTGCTCATTCTCTAAGTATACCTTGATGATTTAAGAATTTGTTTTTCCTTAAACCGGTACGTCAGTGCTTCATGTACCTATAGCAGCATTGAAATTTTTTTTCAACAAAAGGTAGATACAGTTGCTTATTAAAAAATCGTCATATGCACATGCATATAAAAATAGTACTTAAATATAATTTCAGCAATTTGTTTTATTTTGCAAAATATATTATCGCTAAAACCTAGAGACTTTCAATTTGATATATAAATACTCTACACCATTTTTACCATCGATTTTATTCCTCTCCTTCAATGAAAAAAAATCAGAACCTTTAGTTTGTTTATATTTAACAATTCAAATTTTAAGCTTAAACATTTCGGTAATTGTTAGATTATCTAAAAATATATTGTTTAATTTAAAAAATCATTGCTAAAATTTTAGGAAACAGACTGAATTATATATCCATCTATTTTTTATGATGAAATTCTAGCAAATAACAAGGGCCACTTTGGGCCTTTTTTGGCCCTGTAAATTTTTGAAAAATCGAAACTGTTTA